GGAGAGAGAGAGAGAGAAAGAGAGAAAGGAGGAGGCGGGAGAGACAGTTTAGTTTTAAAAAGCGTTCTATGGCACTTACAACACTATTGCATCATACAAGTGCCCAAGATAAGATGTGTTATTAGAAAGTAACATACAAAGAAATTAGTCCTAATTTAGTCAGCCTTTTACGGCACTTGCAACAGTTAGGTCATACACATGCTGAAGAACACACACACACACACACACACACACACACACACACACACACACACACACACACACAACTGTAAGACCCATAAAAACATACAGAAACTGGAGTATGTCGAAGGGCAAAAAGGAGACTCTTTTCTTTTTTTAAAAAAAAGCTTCAGTAAGAGTTTTACAGCACTTGCAGCTCACACAAAATACACAATCACCACAGGTTCTAATATATTTTGTATCAAGACTGTTGTCTCTAAATAAAGTGTAACATAATGAGGACAATTTCAGATATCTCAAATCCCAGATTCATCCCAGCACCTCTGAGTAAAGAGAAACAGCTGGGCTTGAGACAATGAAGGTCATTTGGTACTGGGAAAAAAACAACAAGATCGACTGACAAACAAGAACAATTATAATAAAGATATAAAGCGCTCATATGACCTTAAGCAGTTGCAAGCGCCATAAAAACTCTACTTAAAAAAAAGAAATGTAAAGAGCAGAAATAAGGCCTACCAGTGGCACACTCCAACCACCCACTCTACAAAAGACAAGCATCAATATGTTGTTGTTGCTGTTGTTGTTGCTTTTGTTCTTATCGATCCAGCAACACCACATCGATATGATGAGGTAAAATACTGCACTACTTTGATTGATCCTCCATTTGAAGCAATTAGCAGTTGGCTTTTATCAACAACCTTTCCATACAAAATATAAATACACATCCTCAGCCAACCGTCCAGTTGCACTAACCCCAAATTTTAACAAATAAAGTTTATTGCAGTTCCTGAATCTAGGGTATCAGTTGCATATACTTATGAAATATTTTGTTGACATTCAAATTCTAAAAGTTGTAAATACAAGAAAATACAACAACGTATGTAAAATTTTCCCAAAAATTGAACATTTCTTTTTCCCTCCCCTAAACAATTTTGCCCTGAGCTAAGAATAGACAACTTGACAACTTGATAAAACTTGCCAACGATATCACATACAAATAATATTCTTTCTCTCTGTAACTCTGATCTCCCCCCTCTCCCCCTCCGACTGAATCCTTCCCTCACCACAGACAAGTAATATAATTAATATGGTAATTCCACCCACAAAAACAAGGCATAAATATGCAATAGGGTTTGAACTCTCAAAAACAACAACACGCACCGAACACACCAAAAAATCCTGAACTATTCAGAACCCATCGAAACACATGCACTAACAGATTAAAATATATATAGTCAGGCAAAACCCAAACAAATTCAGAAATCTGGGATTTTGGGCATTTATCTAGAAAATTGTTATCTCAAATATGAAAGAGCACTCGTTTTATATCTATAATAAACATCCCTGTGTGCGCCAGTCTCACCAGATATCTCATCTATAGACCACTGC